CGTGCAGTAGATGCTGCGAGGCCAAGCACAAGCAGAGCAGTAATTTAGACCGCGCGCTTTGCCGTTCGTTCATTTATCGCATCACAAACTCACTCCGTTGAACCGAAGTTAGCACCGCGTTTGGGCCAGGCGTTTGGTTTTATACTCTCCCAACCGTAAAAATAAATGCTGGTTCACTGTCTCCACAGGGCTTCTGCTCCTCTGCTTGGTTGGCTAAAGTCACTGTGGTGACAGTGCAAGCGTTACGGTGGACGTTCATCCACGCACCTCAAGGGCAGTGAAGAAATGAGCTCTCTGCCCATCCATGAGCCCTTATTGGGGTTTATGTAGAAGAAATAAGACCAAAGAGTATCTTATCTCTGTAAGATGCCTAAGGCAAGAACATAAGGAGTGGGGAATGGAGATCATCATCCATCCCTCATATAAGTTCTGGTAGCCTTGGCAAACGGTGGGCTAGGGACACTCTGAGGCAGGGGTTGCATCTGGGCCATCATGACTAGCATCAGTGCTGGCCTCCATGCATGCTCCAGCTTCTTCCCATCTCGCTTGGACTTTCCCTTGAAGGCATTTAATCCTTGTCCTGCGTTGCACCCATGCTGCTCCTCAAATCCTCTCCAAGCTGGTCTAGCACCATCAGCAAAACACACCCTCCTCTGCTGTCCATCACAGCAGGTAAAGCAACAAGCCTTCTTCTTGCTCAGCTCCATGAACCTCACCATCCTTATCCTAGCAAGGAGCACCCCACACACTCCCCTCCCTCAGCCTACCCTGTCTCCATGCCCTAGAGCCCACCGGTCACTACTTTCCACCCATCTTCTCCATGACATGGTGGCAATCAGGACAGCAGAAGGACAGGGACACCCTGCTCAACCCCATCATGGACTATCCCAGAGAGATTTGTGTCAAGAAACTACTCAGATGGGGACAGACCTCCTTAGACCTACCTTACAGTCTGGCTTTTGTGGTTCGGGTTAGAGCAGGACAAGTTACCAGTTGTCCTGGTGCCCTCGAGGAAGTCCTTAGCAGACCCTGCCCTGATGTCTGTCACCCTCTTGGCTTCGTGGCTTTCCCTCTTCAGGTAGCGCTGGTGGGCCTCGAAGCATTTGATGCAGAGGAACTCCTTGCACTCGGAGCACCAGAACTCGCCGTCTTTCTTGCAGTTGTCACAGACCAAGTCAACTCCATCAACAATCTTCTTGTAGACCTTGAGCTTGGCCTGCAGGTTGGTGAAGAGCAGGTTGTCCTTGTCGAGGATGCCGCTGGCCTGCGGGATGGCCGTCTGGCACACGGGGCACTGCCCAATGAGCTGGTTCTCGCTCAGGCAATCGAGGCACAAGGTGTGGAGGCAGGTGAGGAGCTTGAGGTTGGGCGATTCCTGCCGGCAGCCCTCGCAAAAGGTGAACTGGAAGTCATCTTCTAGGAGCTTGGGGAGGGAGGGAGAGAGGAAGAGGAATGAGCGCTGGGGTGTGGTTTTAAGAGCTTCTGAAACCCCATCTTGGCCGGGGAGGTGACCTGCAAACTCTGCTTGGAGCAACCAGGGAGCAACCGCTTCCCACCAGCGATGCCCAGGCCCTACAAGCAGTCTGGAGATGACGTGCGCGCCGTGGTAAGGCTGGATGGACGGGGCCCTGCTGAGCACTTCCTCTTCCTCTAGCAACGCGAAAACCGGACAGTCCCCCTGGCTATGGGGCTGGGGGGGGCTGCAGGGGGGCAGCACAGGCTATGGGGCACGGAGGAAGCATCCAAGGACCCCTGGATGACACCCTGGCAGC